CTAAGTGATAATGACATATTTTAACTAGTTATGAGTTCAATAGACAAGAAATATAGAAAATAGGCATCCTAGTACCCAAAATGGCCTTACTTGAGTCATTTTGGTTGAAATTGCGTCCCAAAACCTCCTACTTGCTCTTTTCTTGTAATCTCAAGCATTAGTCACCTATAACTAACCCCAATTATTATTATTTCACTTCTACTAACTCACATTTTGTGTATTCTAAGTTTTGCAAGGGGCAAACGGGACTTCCATACACGGGCGAGGAACTCCATGTAATTCGGGAGATGTTGGCGACCTACATCACATTTAATTTGTAAATATCGTCATACATTTATGTAGTATATCATCTCTTCATCAATCATAGGCTTAGCTTATTAATTATGTACTATACATGAAACATTTTTCTAATTTATATCATCTCTTGCGATTGTTATTATTAATTATTTATGTTTTGTTATTAATGTTACTAATTATTGTTACTATTATCATATATAATAATAATTATTATTATTATTATTATTATTATTATTATTATTATTATTATTATTACTATTATAATATTAATTATTATTATTATTATTAATATAATAATAATAATAATTATTATTATTATTAATATTGCAGCCAAAAAAAAAAAAAAAAAAAACAGGTCAATATTAGTGCAGCCAAAAAAAAAAACAAAAAACAGGTGAATATTAGTGCAGCCAAAAAAAAAAACAATACAGGTCATTGGCAACGGTTAACCGTTGCCAATGTTTAAAAAAAAAAAAGGCGCGCCATTGGCTTTGGCAACGGTTTTGAACCGTTGCCAATTTTTTTGGGATTTGGCAACCCTCAAATATTCAACGGTTCAAAACCGTTGCCTTTGGGGGGGGTTTGAACCGTTGTCAATTTGCTGGTTTCGTGTAGTGTAAGTTTAAATTTGAGGTAATAAGTTCTAATAAGTTTAGATAAGATCTACATAATAAGTTCATATTAATTCCAATAAGATAGGTTTAGTTTAGATTTTTAGAAGATAAGTTCAAACCCTATTCTAATCTATTCACATTGATTCCACTCATTTTAAGGATAACAATTTCAGATAAGATCATATTCGAGATGACATGTTTAGATAAAATACAATAAGTTTATATAAATTCGGATAAAATAGGTTTAGTTAGATAAGTTAAAATACAATAATTTATTTTTCTAAACTTATTTTATTTGAAATTATCTTAACTTATTTAATTTTTATAAGTTCATATCCGAGTTCACGTTTTTTTTTAATGGCATTTTTTTTATAACATTTAAATGGAATTATTCAAAACATTTAAATAAGATTAAATAGGCAAATGAATAATAAAATTAGAAAAATAAAAGACCAATAAAAGCTTTTTAACAACCTTAGTTCGGGTCACCACTTTCTCGAGTCCAGACAAGTCAAGTCATGATCGGGTACAGGTAAATTATTTGGGTCAGATTATCATCGGGTCATTGTCATATACTCATGCTCGCATTCAATCATTATCACGTTCAATTCAATCATTATCCGAAATTATTATTTTTTTTAAACTTTTTTTTATTTGATTTTTTTTTTATAAAATATAAGATAAAACAAACAAGCCTAAGCTCAAATAGTATTTGTATACCGTAATTGACTACATTAATGCACATGCATCTACAAAGTAGTAGTATTCGTAAACCACAATTGCTTAATTGAAATATAGAATGAACTTGCACCTAAAAAGTAGTAGTATTCGTAAATCGTAATTACTAACTAAATTTAAATAAAGAATGCACATGCATCCAAAAAGTAGTGGTATTCATAAATTTTTATAGGTTTTTTTGAGACATATAAATTGTAATACATTTGATAATAGAGAATTTTATTGAAAATATTTGAATAAGCTTAAATAGGAAAATAAATCATAGAATTAGGGAAAAAAAAGATATGACGTAATCTAGATTGCTAGTTAATTTCGGTCGGGTTAGTGACAGATCGGGTAGAATTTCGGGTCGGGTTAGTAATAGGTCGGGTTAAATTCGAGTCGGGTTAGTAACAGGTCAGGTTAAATTCGGGTCGGGTTAGGAATAGGTCGGGTTAAAGGGTTTTGACGGGTTAAAACGAGTTTGGGTCAATTTCGGTTCAGGTCGGGTTCGGTTCAAGTCAATATTTTACGGGTTATATTCGAGTCGGGTCATTTCCAGGTCGATTCATGTTCGGGTTCGAGTCTCAGATACTCAGGTTAACTCGGGTCTGGGGTTGGTTTCAGGTCGGGTCATATCGGGTTCAGGTCATCATATTTTCGGGTTTAGACGGGTCGGTTAATAATCGGGTTCGGGTCGGTATTTCGGGTCGGGTCAGCTTTTGACAGCTCTATACATGTACCGGAAATGGGTTCGAGAGCGAGGGGACTAAAATAACGTTCCCTTTAGGAGGGAATTACTATCCTAGCCCTAGTGCGGCCTCTACTAGCTCTTCCTTTTTCACAATTTCATTACCAAACAATATATGCAACGTGATACCTAAAACTAAGTTAGTTGATTTTATTTACACGCGTCAATCACATAAAGATTACATTACAACGAATGTCGTTATTCTTATTTAAATCAAATTCGTGAAAGAACAATGATAAACAAAATTCGCCTTGGCTTAAGTGATAAAACAATCAATTAATTAATCCAATTCTAGTCTTATTTCACGAAAGAATACTATGTTGAATTGATTAATTAAATGTTTATTTAATGTGATCAAGCAACACAAATTAACTAATTTAAGTGATTTAGGACAAGAAAAGTGAAAGTGATTTATCTAAGCGCTCAGGAATTACCACTTTTCCTTGCTACATCTTCGTTTAGAATGTTTATAGATACCTTCTTGTTGGGGAACCTCCATCGTAAGAACAAAATAATTAAAAGGGGTGAGTGTTTAGGACAACAGGGTTGATTATTGCATAAGTTCACAAAGATGTTACTACTAACTTTTAGGATATTTTTCTGTGTCTTTAAAGCTTGTATTGAACCTCTATTTATAGGGAATGGGTGAGATTAGGGTTTCGAAGATTCTGCTGCAGCAGGTGGCGCACGCAACAGTGAAGGTTGCGCGAGAATGAAGGAGTTGCGCTGCCAAGGACAGCGCGACTTCTAGTCTTGTGCGTGGCTGTATGGTAAGATTCGATTCAGTATTTTTATGAAATTCCAAATTTTTCGCAAGCGCATCTCTTTGAGGATTGCGCTGGATGTCGCACGCAACCTTATGAGTTGATTCTCCAGCCATATATTATCTGCCTTATTGGACCATTTGTAATATATGGCTGGTAAATGGGCTACGGAGGCTTTGTAAAACCCGTAAAGTTCTAAGACCACCTTGACATAAACCTCTAGAAGGGATAATCTAATATCATATCACTAAACCCGAAAAACTCGTGGCCTGGCTGCGAGACCGGCTTTATTTATTAGTGATATGATATTAGATTATCCCTTCTAGAGGTTTATGTCAAGGTGGTCTTTTATCACCAATGTTATTTGTTATACGTATGGAAGTGCTCTCAAAGAAGCTTCTTTCAAATTCTTTAGATTAAAATTTGGTATAAGTTTTAAAATTAGATAAGTTATGGTTTATATTAGAATAATCCCACCCCCAAAAAACCCTAACCTCTCTCCTAAACCCTAGCTTCCATTGTTAATTTTTGAGGGGCTTCCATCGAATCTTGCCGGTGGAAAGCCCTAATCTAAGTTGTTTTTGTTTATGTTTTTCTTTTTTTTCTTTTCTTTTTTTTTTTTTTTTTTTTTTTGCTTTTTTTAGCTTATAATAATGGTTCCTTTGCTCAAGAGGAACTTGTCTCTCTCGAAAGAAAGGGTTTTTCTCCTTCGAAAGACAAGGTTTTTTCGATCTCCTTTGAAAGATTAGGTTTTTCGGACTTCTTCAAAAGACAAGATGTTCTCTACGCTTGGAAAGTATCAGGTTATGCAAGGCTACAATTGATTTTGATTATTCTGATTCAGGGATACAAAATTATCGCAAGAATTTTCTTCCTCCATCATGAAGCGATGACGTCCCTAGCTAATTCTAGTTTGATTTTGTTAAATCTTTTTTTTTTTCGTTAATCATCAATGGTTAGATGTCGTATGGCTTTAATCAATGAAAAATAGTGTCCTTTGGGACTTCTTTTTTTTTTAAAAAAAAAAAAAGAAAAAAAAAAGAGAGAGAGAGAGAATAATCCCCACCCCCACCCAAATATTCCACTAACTTTACTTAACAATGACCAAAACACTATTTCTATGAATAAGATAATATTCCAATAACTTCACTTTACAATAAACAATTTCATAAAACTATCCCGCTCAAATATTTCTTAAATTTCGTGTCCATTTCAAAGTGTTAGATGAATTGGAAAGGAGGGAATAAGCGTGATTAATCCCTCCAAATTTGGAGATATTTGAAAGGAAAACGGAACCCACATTTCCCCTCCATTTCTCTCCCCTCCCCATCCCTCTCTTTCCATCCCCTTTGCTTTCTCTTTTACTTTGCTATCCAAAATATCGTATAGGTCAAAAGGAAAACTAATAGTTCCTTTGTTTCTTTTATAATTGACACAATTTTTAATCACTTGAGCAAATGTATCACTTCAACCTTTAATATCCTTCTTGAATGATAAGCATAAACTATAATTTATATTTTGAAATAACATATTGAAACGAATTCAATAAGATCCCGTAATATGTTTTTCATTACGTAAAAATCACAAAAGATAGCCAAAGAATAGTGTGAATAGTGGTAAAGTTAAAGCGTGTCAATTTTAAAAAAAAAATAAATAAAGTATTGAAAATTAAACTAGTAGCACATAATCCACATTTAGCTGAAAAGTATCAATGGAATTTCTATTACTATTGACTAAACTAGTACTAATTGTAATTTAATTGATGCAGCATCTACAAGAGGCACCTCATAATTTTGACAAACATAAAACTTTGTTTATAACCCATCACGCATGGACATGATATGATGAATGTCTGAGTAAGTGCAAAAAATTATAAAGCATATATTATTGTTGATAATACTCTTTATTATATTTACAAATAATTAATGGCCCCTTTCTGGGATTTTTTAATGTAAACTTAGTTCACTTGCAGAATGCAAATACATTTCATTATTTATATACACATACTGACAGCTAAGATACCATAAGATCTGCATCATAAAACTATGTTAAACACGGAGTAGTCTATCTGAATCAAGCCATACCTAATCAGCATCCTGATTACTGGAGGCTTTAGAACAGTCCTCTTTGCGAAAATGTGACCGGAGTCCTATCCAGCATTGATAGTAATCGTTGTCGAGGAAGGGTGACTCGAGAGCCCAAGTGCAAACTCGAGGAATTAGATATGATTCAAACATGAATGCCAGGGTATCAGTAATTTTGTACGGTCCTGCATTCTCCCCGCATGCAACGGTTGCCTGGAAGACATACAAATTTGTTAAGCTAAATGATGGGCAAGCCAATTATAGCAGACTGGAACATTTCTATCCAAAACTAAGTGTATTCAATCACAAAATCACCCGACTGTAGAAGAACACTTTTGTTTAACCTAACAAGTAAAGACTAAAAGAAAATAATAACAGGAAATTACGAGGTCATAATCTCATGGACATAATCGATAGTTATTAGTTTTTAAGTCAACTAACAACATACGTACATACCTCATAAGTCTTGGTATCAGGACCATGTGGAGTCATGCAGCTATGCAGACTTGAACCACCCGGGATAAACCCATCAGCCTTTGCCTGCATGTGGTTCTATAAAATTGTCGATATGAAAGACGTGACCACATAAGATTAGCGAGATATAACAGCCCAGAACAGACATAATAAAGGTAAAGAACTTGAATATTAATGTTAAGAATGAAAGAGTAACAAGGAAAGAGCCCTACTAAACACATACGAGTAAGATTCAGTACAAAAATCAATGGGCAATAAAAGTAGTGTAGCCAACTAGGGTAATAAATTAAAGCCTGTAGCCTTCAACTTTTGAATGTGGGACAACATATTTATACTTGTTTATAACATTTCCCCTTCAAATGTGAATTCATACACTCCCTCTTTAGCGACAAAAGTTTGAACATGGCACCCAAATCCTAAACATAACTCCAAGGAAAAGGCTAGAACTAGTGGTGTGAGATAAATCTCTTAGGTCATCACCAATAAAAGGGCCCTGGAGGCACAAGCCCAACAAAAACTACGTCCATCAAATGCTGTGAAAATATACAGGTATATCACTTTTTTGACATGGTGGGAAACAAGGGAGAGTGACAAGCCATAAATCCAAAACCAAAACCGACTGAAGTTCCATTACGAACAAATGAATAGGAGTAGGCAATTAGCGTTAACTGAAGGCTAGCCTTCAACTTTCAATGCAGAACTACATGGCTTGGAAAGGGGGGGGGGGGGCGGGGGGTGGGGGAGAAGAAGAGTGGGTATGTCTGAATTCAATTAATATAAGCCACAGCCAAATTTTCTACTAGAAAAACCTTTTTGCTCTCACAAGCTTCCATAACTTAGGTTTTCATCCTCAGGACAGTATATGCAGCATACTGAACCAGTTGAGAGCCCAACAGAGTAAAGATATTAAGACATAGTGTGAGCTAGAGAGTTAATACCTCGTAATTACCATAAATCAGTCCCATAAACTCGCTCATACAATTGCGATGATAATAAGGAGGGCGAAATGTGTGTTCCGCAACCAGCCACCTAGGAGGGAAAATGACAAAATCAAGTAAAGCCACACCAGGCTTATCTGTTGGGGCAGTAAGCACTGCAATACAAGAAGGCAACCATATTAAGGTTAAAATTGGACTCAAAGAAGTAGCTTGAGAGTTGAGACATTAAAAAAAGTGTATGATGGAAGAAATAGTTACCAACCTGTATTTACTGATGGGTCCCCGTGATCCACCAATACAGTATTATAGGGACAGAACTTGCTCAAATCATACTGCAAGCAGAGCGTGTAAGTAATGTGATAACTAGCTCAAGATATCAATTTTGCATAATCATAACACAGCGTTAAGCCAGAAATTCTTAGCTTATAGCTTCGATGGTGCACGCATAAAATATCATATATACAAATTAATAACCCACCTTATATGGGACATAGTTTCCATGCCAGGCAACTACATTGAAGGGAGAGAAATCCTGTTTGGCAGTAAATAATTCCCCACCATATTTTTGAACGATTATGTAATTTGGACAGGGAGTTTCCTCAAAACAAGCAACGGGAACAAGGAAATCTCTTGCAGCAGCTAGACCATTGGCACCTACAAGCAAACAAAAATGCCAGAAAGCTTTGATGGTACCTAATCTTCAAATGTAAATAGGTGCACGGTTTTTCACCAATATCGTGAAACTTAAATACCTATAGGTCCTAGATCTGGAAGCTGGAAATGTGTCCCAAATATCTCAGAAACATAACCTCGTGATGGACCATCAGGCAAGCTGACAGCAAAACGAAATCCTTGAGGCACTACAGCAACTTCGCCAGGAATAACTTCCAATCTTCCACACTCCGTCATGATCCATAGCCCTGATAAGTACGTAAACTCTTAAAAGTTGCACCTCAATGAAATATTGAAAGCACCAAGGAAATTCATGTTGTGTAACAGAAGACACCTTCGTTTTCCACAATTCATCTCACTTCAATGAATATAGAATGTTCATTCTTCAAATCCTAAAAAACCCTAAGCAGGTTTTTTCTTGATAAAATTGACTTAAAATAACTGAAACGTCTCTAGACAAGCATCTATAATACAGCAATAAAACATGATTAGGCTTTGTTTTTTCCCCCTGAAAATTACATTTTTTTAAATATATCTAAGCAATTATTTCCTCAATTTATTGTCCAAAATATGAGTTATTTTTAGTAACAAGTGACTAATAGCCCTGATTATATCGGAAAATTTCCTAGCATAATTTTTAGAGGCAAAAACAACAAGACCTTAATGTAATATGATCATGTGTGAACCGCACATCAAACAATGATGCATGAACAGAAAAAAAGGCACGCACTCCCTTTCTGAGGAACGAATAAGAAGTCTCCGTCAGCATTGCAGAAGGCATAGTTATCCATTGATTTGTTTGCAGTGTACCTACATGAGCAATTGCAATCTTGAGGCTTTGTTCTCCACTCACCAGAATAGATAACAAAATTGATGCTATATGTTCTCAGAAATCCACATTTCGTTACTGAATATCAGCATTTTATGTTTCACCGGCGCAAGTACTAGCTGAATCTACCCATGAGATGAACAAACTTGGAAAACAAGTCAGATAAGTAGATAACAATTACATCATTAACAAAAACATGGGTGAAAACGCTTTGATGATATCTTTAGACGATAGAGAACAGCCTTTTAAATTTCAATACTGTATAAGATGTTCATGAAAAGTTTTAGCACTTACAACCCTTTGTATAGAACACTTCGTACATACAGCCTTGTTACGAAAAAAATTATCACAGCTCTAAAAGAAATTTCATGTAATGTTGATGTTTGATATTTCATTTAATATGACCAATTATTCAATAAACAGGATTAAGTGGCAGGATAAAATGCCATAAGGTATCAAATTTAAATTACTTCTGTGATTTTAGAGCCGTAAATTACATAATTTTTAATACGCTGTAGTTGCTGAAGTGACCTATACAGGCTATGACTTATTTCCAAAAATCTTAAAACTTAATGTTTCTTTGTCAATACAATGTGACAGTCTTAAGCTCTATCGTAAGTGAAAGTGTTGATAATTTTTAAAGCCCAAAAAGAATGCAAAAACAATTGTTTCCACTTGGTCCTCTGAAGATTACACAGATGCTAACACTTAGTAATCTTAATCAACATTTGAGTATTATAATAAGATACCACAAGTAAAAACAAATGGCTATGAAATTTACCAGGCTCAGGGAGGCCAACTTTCTGGCACACATCTTCACCCACACTTATGCATTGTGTTTTTCTATCCTATAATTGTAATAAGGCAAAGGGGCTTGCAAAGAATAAATTTGGAGCTTTATAGACAAAATGACTGAAAGGAAGCAAATTACTAAATAAAGAGAAGAACGTGGAAAATGCTATAATTTTTAAAAATACCAATTACATGTGAACTGCATATCCATGACGGAGATAGGAACTGCCTGCCCCACAAATAGTTTGCAAACCATCAATAAAATTTGTTGGCTCTTCAGGAATATCTACAGGCTTCCACCGTAGTTGTGTTGGATTAGCAGAGCTGTTGGACTGGTTGAAATCTGCAATAAGTTTCTCATTGCCAGGGACACGAGGTTTGAAGGGCTCATGCGTAACTGATGGTTTGATACGATACAACCAACTGCCAAAGAAATAATTTACCCTCAATTCATGTCTATTGCCCAAAACAATCAAACGAGGATAAAACATAGCATTGTTTAATAGGCTGAGTACTTGAAAAAAAAATGCTGCTCAGTTAGCACGCACACATGATTGATCCTTTATGCACACACAATTCACCACCATGACAAAATGTAGTCATTCTATGCCTCACAAAGCATGAAAGACATTATAAGATAAAACATCCAAAAAAAAATGAAAACTTATTAGTTTAGAGCCATAAGAGGTGTTAGGAAAGGAGGCATAAGCTGAAATGTTTTTGTACCAAATTTTGCCCTTGACCAAAACCAACAACTTGATCAATTACAAAGTAGGAAAAAAAAATTGCAAACCATATGTTGCTTTATAGTTTTCAACAAATTTGATGATTAGCCAAACATTTCCAATAAGATTAGTAGCTAATAAAACTTTATTTTCAGCCTTCTACATGTCTTTTAATGTTTACCCAACTACTATACAGAACCTTAGAGGTCCCAAATATTCAAAATTCAATCTCCACAATCAAATAAGTTCATATTTCTAGGATAGAATAAGTAACAAAACAATTAGCATCTGGGATTATAGGAAATGTGAAAAACCTTGAACATAACTTAGTTCATAATAGAGTCTCACCCAGGAATGACAATCGATCAAAATCGAGTCAGATGGGACTAAACCCGAATCTGATCCATTTAATAATCGGATCATGGACTCGGATTCGAATTCGAATCTGCTTGATCTAAGTCCGAGTCCAATACGACTCATATTTTTAGCATCCGAATCCGATTTGTTTATTCAGACATCTGATAAAATCCGCCTCGTTTGTGTAATATACTAATAATTGCTTATTTTTTCTCTAATAAATTTCAGATACGGATCCGGAGTCGGGCTTTGCGGAAGGTCCAAGTTCAACCTGCCTCCTATTCGGATTTGGACCTATTTAGTCGGATTCAGATTATTTTTTAACGGATTCATAATCGGACTTTTCCATCGGATTGGTCAGATTCGAATTTAACTTGGATTGAATTGTCATCCCTAGTCTCACCATTGAAGCTTAAAACTAATTACAACAGAATTTCTTAACCCAAATTAAGCACCACTAATAACGATGACCTTAATTCTTAAAGCTTATCATGCAAAACTTTAAAAGTGATTTTTTTTTCATGAATCACAAATACTAATACCAACTGACTATTTGAAATTCCAACAATATATACACTATTCATATACTTCTTTCATTTCAACCTAACGGATACGTTTTGCTTTTTGACACGATTTACACTCTTCTTTGACTAATTTTTGTAATTTATATAAGAAAAAACAAAGTCACGAGAAACATAGTCACGAGAAACCTTGTTAATTTTAAGACGGTATTTCGAAAAATCAATACTTTCAATATTGTAAAACTTTAACTATTAATAATTCCACATAGGCACATATTTACGCTTGAATCTATACACAAACACGATACAAGAAGTGCACCACCAAAAAAAAAAAAAAAGTGTAAGAAACGTGTTGAAATATACTACTAACACTAATCACATATTCACATGTTTTATAATTTTTTAATATCAAATACTTGTGAAATGCGAAATTCATCACGTAACATGTTGTTAGATTGGAGTTGCAACCGAATATCGCTTACTTTAATTAAGAAAATTATCACAATTATCAATAGTCAAAGTTGTGCATTTGTAAAAAATTAAAAATCAAAGTATAGCAATTGTAACGAAACAGACAAAATATTCATAAGAGTAATTAAAGATTTAAAGATTGAAAAGAGGTAATTAAAAATAAAAATAGGAAAACACCTTCGGAGATTGAGCTTGCGAGGAGCAGTGAACGAAGTGCCGGAAATTTGCTCGGCGTATAAACCAAAGGGACAAATAAGGGGGTTGTTCTGTCCTTGTGGCAGAGCTCCGGCGATGGCTTCCGACGAAAAGTGGTTTCCAAAGCCAGGAAGGTACTTCAAATCCGCCGGAAAATCGAGAGACTCCGCCGTATTAACCACCTCTGACGCCATTGTTGTTGCTGCGGAAGAAATGATGCTTCTAGCTGAGTCAACAGAGTGATGAATATACGGGGTACCAGTATGAAAGTATTTGATTGATGAGTCAAACAGGTGACTTTTGGATATTGTGTACCCTTCCTTATTTCCCTCTCTATTTCTCCGTACTAAAATAACACAAATTCTTTATTGGAAAAATTATTCGAAATAATCTAATCTTTGAACTTCCGCCCATAATAATTCTACCTTTGTAATATTTTTAAATAATCCGACCTTTATACCCAATTCGCTTAAAATGATCTTAAGTGACTTTTAATCGGTTGATTAGGTGATTTTTTTTATTAAGTTTAATTTACACATGTCATCACGTGATTGGTCAAAAATAAAATAATATAAATTTATAAAAAATTTGATTTTTTAATGAAAAATAATAAAAATAAATAAATAAATTATTTTAAGTAAAAATAATAAAAAAAATATATTATTTAATAATTTAAGAAAACCACCCCACCAGCCAAAGCCACCCTCCCAGCTGCGGCGCCGCCTAACTCCCCGTCCTCGCGGCTCCAGTCACCCTATCCCTCAACCCAACGCCGGCGCCGCTTAACCCTCTCCCCTAAACCACCAACACCCCAGACCCTCCCCCGAAAACCCAGGGATGCACCGGCAACTCAGCGACCAATAACCATCCCCACCCTCAATGTTAGAAAACCCCGTCCCGAATCCGGCACCTCTGTCGTTACCCCGTCACGATTCCAGCCTCCCCCCCTTCCCTTGCCCCGATTCCGACCTCCTTCCCCTTCCCCCGCCCTGATTTCGGCCTCCCTTACCTTCCCCCGCCCCGATTTCGCCGCCCATACCACCGGCAATAGCGACGACGATGACTTAATTTGCATCGCGAGCTCCGATCTCACGGTGGATGGATGCAATTCGACAGATATTGGGTGGTTGGGGCTGGGGATATGGGTGGCTGTCGCCGGATTATTTTTATGGGTGAATGTGATGGTGATGGTGGATCGAACGCCGTCTTGGAGGCGGTTGGCGGTGGAGAAGAAGCTGCAGGCTGGGTAATTTTTTTTTATTTAAATTTTTTTATTTTTTTGCATTTTTTTTAAAGGTTTTTCTTGTTAAATTTTTAAATTTAACTTTTTTTTAGAAAAAATTTTGACCAATCACAAGCCGTCATGTGTCAGGTAACCTGATATAACAAGTTACATAACCGGTTGGGACCATTTTGAGCTGATTGAGTACAAAGGTCGAATTATTTAAAAATAACCCAATGGTGTGATTATTTTTAGCGGACGCCCCAAAGGTGGGATTATTCCGGACAATTTTTCCTTCTTTATATATGCGGTCAGCCAACATGGGGTCACCTCGTTAGTGTTACAGGGTATGTAGGACCCTACTAAACCAATACATCGACTCTGAAACAAATGTAGTTGGTGGGGCTCGAAGTTGTGACCTCAAAGTTACAAGATGAATTCCACACCAACTCTACCAAGCTTACTTGGTTTGCTTACTGTTGTATGATGTATTGGGAATGAATCAGGGTATAGATCTCGAACCAATGACACTTCTTCTTGTTATCTTGTGAGCGTAGCTAATATATGATTAGTGAATCATGCAAATACTAAATCCGCTTCTTATTATTTGCAACTTTAAATTAAAATTTGATAGTAAATATTAATTAAATAGAAAAGGATAGATATACATATGATCCCATAAGGAGAAGGATAGAGGGATAATTAACAACTTAAAAAGAATAATAGTGGGGTCTTATTAAATTAATCAAGTGGGGTCTTAATTAAATTAATCTCGATTTTAGGTTTCAAAATATATATTTTTCATATTTTTTTGTGCTTAACTTGAGATATTTTAATTACTCCGATACAATATTGAACCGAAAATTGTGCAAAAAGCAAATGGGATAAGCAAAAAAAATAATTTATCTACTTACAATAAAAAAAAATAAAAAATAAAAAAAGTTTTTTTAAGAATTTTTTTTTTAAAATCAAAGGGAAAATTGGCTCTAAATAATCTCAACTATTGCTTTCTTTTTAAAGTATTTGCTCTCGGCACCACCAGCTTTCTTTTTACCCAAAAATTGGCAAATTAAGCAAAAGACCAAAACGCCTTGATGTCCAAGCATGCAAAACAAGAAATTTACCTACATCAAGGCGATTCCGGTCATTTTATGCCAATTTCAACCCCAAATTTGATCCAAATGGACCAAATTATCCCCAAAAATTTAATCGAGCAACTTTTGTTGTTCGAAATGAAATACACAAACTGTGGCATTTGCTTGCAAATAAACTGAGGGTTTTTGTCTGTTTTTTTCCAATTTCGACCTCAAATTTCCTCTAGGGTCAAAATGATCCCAAAAACCATAATTTAGATATTATTCATGGCTTAGAAATGAAGCACACATAACGATGCATTCCTTGCACGCAATTTGAGGCTTTATTTTATAACATAAAAGTATTAATTTAATAGATTTGAGCAGAATATTCCCTAAGATTTCCATTCTAATCACCGGTATATTATTTTGCACGTTGAATAAGTGGTGATGCTAAGAGCAAATACCTTAGATGTTAGGTCGTATTATTTTGCACAAAAAAGGGATAGTTAAGATTATTTAGTGCCAATAAATTAAAGGATGAGTATTATTGCTAATGTATCAAAAAAGTGTATCCAATTATGTCAAATGTGGGTTGGGCTTTATATGTGTCACATGTGTTTTGGTGGTACCACGTACCAGTGTTATGTTCCGTGAAGTTAAGAAATTGTTCTTCCACGTTAATTTTTATCATTCTATCCTCATTCAAACCAAAAATAGATAACAACCCAACAAGTTACAAGACGAAAACGTCATATGTATGCATTGTTGTTTTGCTCCATTCGAGTAACACACGTTATAAGTCACATTTCTCACTATAAGCCCCCCTAACAGGCCCACAATATTTGGCAACCGCAATTCCATCCATACTCAATTCATACAGCATAAGTTTTCAATTTTAATCACTATCCTCAAGTTTTTAAAGAGTTAAATATAAAACAAGAGACTCAATTCTTGCAAAATGTGAAAAAAGGGGACTCTATTTATTTTACAGAGGGAAAAGGGACTAGGCTAGAATAGGTTTGGATTTTCGGTGGGTTTTAATTAAATAAGGGAAAGAATTAAGTCCCCTTGGTTAAAGAATTGAGTCCCCTTGGTTAAACAATTGAGTCCTTTTTTTTTTTTTTTGTAATATTTTAATTTAAGACCAATCAAAAATAGAGTCCCTTCCTCTTTTTGGAACAAAAATAAGGCATAGAATTACAATTTTATTTTCTCCATCATCTTCGTTCATTACATCCTCAACCTTCCAACTCCACATCTATACTTTTATTTATTTTATATATTAAAGAACGTTCCTAAAATGTCTATGTGCCACCTATATCATTTCTCGCACTAGCATCATGCCACGTCATCATTTAACATCTTCATTTAATGTCATGGTTAACTAAAAAATGCATACAATGAGGTTTGAACACTAACTTCAAGAACAAAGCTTTTGTGTTGCTGTTGCACTTTCTTAATTTCAAACGGCTATATTTTTAAAACAATCAGTAGGAATGATTAATGAAGGGATTGAATTTGTCTGGTTTAATCAAGACAATAATGAGGGGACTCAATTCTTTACAAGGGACTTAATTTTTCTTGGGTTAAAGATGAGTTAAGTCACCTGAAAATACCCCCTACCACCGGAAATTTAACACCAATCCCCTTTTTCTCTGTAAAATAAATGGAGTCCCCTTTCCCCATATTTTGAAAGAATTGAGTCCCCTATTTTATACTTAATTCGGTTTTTACATGGTTAAAAATAATTACAATCTCCCTACATTTTATATTATTTTCGTAATTGAAATTTTTTTGTGAGACAAAATTATTAAAATAAGAAAAAATTTATATGAAACGGAGAAGTTAGTAATTTATTAAGAAGTGCACTATCATATCACTAATAAATAAAGCCGGTCCCGCATCCAGGCCACGAGACAACGACACTTGGCATTTCAGTTTTTCACTAAGTGTTGAGCCACGTAGACGACAAATAGATATTACTGTGATTAGATTAGATGTCACGTTAGATTAGATTGGATAGATTTGTTTAGGTTAAAAAAGTATACATAAAATAATTTATAATTCTTTTACAAAAAAACTTATCTTTTTATTGACAATAGAATTTTACGTATGACAACATACCACATATTATAATTAATATAAATATCCAATTAACATTAGAATTTTACTCCTACACAAATTTGAATTAGGTATTCTTCATATTCGGTTGTAATTTTTTTTTTTTTTTTTTTGGTTGTATGTTTGTGATTTTGTTAATGAAATTAAAGAAGTCAAAAACTACTAAAATTAGGACACAATAGAAAATGTACAATACGAGGGAATCTTGAAGTGAATTCAGATCAATGTCAGCAAGATCTTAGAACTTTACGAGTTTTTCACTTAAAAAGCATTTTAATAATTCTATTTTTTTTACGCTAATCATATTATTAATATGTTTATTATTCTGCATTATCGAAATGGTTTATTTGACTATATTTAACATTCAAGCCAAAAAGTTTATCCTAAAATTTTATCAAAAATCCGGACATCGCCCAGGCATAAAATTAGTAACTAATATATAAAGCTAAACTTTTAGCCACGCCACGAGACAGCGACACTTGGCGTTTTAACTTTTCACCAAGTGTCGTGCCACGTAGGCAACAATTAATTATTAGTATGACACGTAGGATAAAAATGTTGGATATATTAAGATAGATTTTGTAAGATAAACAAATTTAGTTAGGAGTTTTATTTTCAATAAAATTTGTATAGATTTTTAGGATAAAATTGTTGGTTTAGAGTTTTATTTTCGATAAAATACCAAAATTTTATATGTACAAATTAAATTATAACCCTTTTAAAAAAAATTAAATTATAACTTTCAATAATTATTATCTTAATAAAATTTTTTTTTATCATAATATTCGTGTTAAAGAGTTCTCCAAAATAAATCAATTTATGATATACTTTAAACATTATAACTCATAATTTTATAAGCAAAAATACTATATTTTTTATTTACAAGTATGATTGTCAAGTGATTATTAACCCATGAGTAGAAAATTCAAATAATATAGAATTTTTCTCATATATAGTGTATAAATCTATAATATATATTGCGATCTTACAAAAATCATTGGTATCCTATGTCAAAATATCCTAATTAAAAAGGATATACACCTGTTACATAACAATGTTTGTATCGATGATATGTTTTATAATTTGGCACATGGATACAAAATTTATTTAAAAATTTAATAAACAAACCGGGTAT